TTGTCAGAAGTTGTGTGAAAATGCAGGGTGGCAGCACAGGGACTCAGTAACTGGGTCTCATTGAATTGCAGCCCTGGTCTATGGTCTCTGGGCACCATCCCTCAGCTCAAACACTGCCCACCAGAGCAGGAAAGGAAGAGCTGTGTCCTGCTGAGGGGTTCCTTGTTGCTGTGCAGGAGCTGCCCACCTGCCATCGGCTGTGGTGAGAGATCTTCAGTTTCTGCAGAGCCCGTTTCAGGGTGTCTGTCCATGGGACTTACCAACATCCCCATGTCTTCTGCAGCTCAGAGCTTTCCAAGGCATCGCATGAAGTTTGCTGATTATCAGCTGCCTCATGGCTCAAGCTTTCTAGAAAATGGGATTTCTCTCATGTTAAAAATTAGCTCCTTACCCACCATGGTGACTATAGGTTCCAAGTGTGTCACGGGGGAAATCTTCTGGAAGCACTGTTTAGAGGGAGCATAAGCAGAAAGCATTGTGATTGTCAGCTTCATGAGTCCTTATCTCTTGGGTTTGCTAATCTAGTGTCTCAGGCAGCTGCTTCCTTGATAGTGGAGGGGTTTGGAGGTGCCTCATCATGCCACCAGGGTGTTTGGAGATGCATTTATCTCAGGGCCAGGCAGATGGGAGACCCTTGCAAAAGGAGAACTGCCAGCCTGCCTGGATTCCGTCACAACTTCAGTTCTTTTGAGTAAAACATTTCTTCTAGAAAATGTCAGTGTCGTAAAACTTCAGTAGTGGAGCTGGAGAAGATGGTAGCAATGGAAACTGATAGATCTGATTAGCTTCCCTGTTAGACTGGGAGCTGCTCCAGCCACACTGGAACTGCTAGCAGACTTGGGAAGCCCATGTCTCTCAGACCTGCCAACAGAGCATTGTGCAACTTATTCCCTCCAGTGTAAATTTAGATTCTCCAGAAGTTAGTTGCCTGGAGGCCTTTCATCTCCCAGGCAGTTTCCTTCTTGCCTTAGTTGATTTTTTTTTTCCCATGCTTGATGAAGAACATCAATGAAGGAGGTATGTAACTGTTGAGAAGCAAAGGGAGTGTACTGCATGGATATGGCTTTGTGGGCAGGATCTGTGAGATCTTCCACCCACCATGGATGGTGAAAGGTGATGCAATTCTTCCCCAGAGCTTGCCACCCCTAAGTTTTTTGCATAGAGCAGGGAGTAGATGTTTGGCAAAAACTGAGGACTTTGCATCTTTAATTTAAAATTGAAATAGCCATCAGGTGAAATTGTGTGAAAGAGACTGGGGATCCCAGGCCTGAAGGAAAAGGATGCCTTTATGGGCTTGCGGTGCACTGGGAATTCCAGATAGCGCAGGAGGACCAAAGAAGACCTTACCTCTCTTCTAACTTACACTGAAGCTCCAAGATCTGATGGTGCTAATGTTCAAAGTGCTGTGTGCTCGTCTTGGTTGGAGGGGTGAAAAATTTGGCAACGGGATGCAGCCAAGACATCATTCAAAATAAACTATTAACAGGTAGAAGGAAGCTGTAAGGAGGTGCTTGCTGGTTTTCTACAACAGTTTTAGCCCTTGTCACCATTATCAGGATTTACAGTGATCATTGGAGGACTTTATGCAAAGAAAAGGCAGCTGGTCAGGATGACTTACTTGGGTCACTGTGATCTCTATTATAATTGTTCCCTATGTGATTATTTTGAGGGTTGAGCAACTGAGAGCTGCAGAAGAGACGTGGAGCTTTATTTCTGCGATATGTGAAATGTTCTGTGTTCATTTCAAAAACGTTCAGCCCTTTTTCTGTCTGAAAAAACAAAATTAAATTCAGGAAGTCTGCAGGAATTTTTGTGAAGTCTAACTTTAAATGCTCACCTTTCCTTTTATCGCCCTTATCAGCACATAGAACTCAGTGTGTGAGGTTTTTAGCTGACATTTCAAATCTCTCTGAGTATGCCTGTATCCCTTTTAAAGCAGCCTCCCCTCCCAGATCAGAAGTGACCATTTTTTTTGTTAGACTCCATGTTCCTTTAATGTTTTCCTCCTAATAGATGTTGAAAGCGTTCTTCAGAGGCACGGCACAAAACATTCAAATAGTGATACGAGCCAGCTGAAGAGACTTGTCAGGGAGAGGGAACATTAGGAGAAGGATTGAATACAGATGGATTCCTCAAAACTAATGTAACCTGTTATGATTGCTTTGAAATCCTATACCCTTTCCATCTACTTATGCTTACCAAAAGTTTACATTTGCATTGATGTATTAGAGGCAGAGCTAAAATGGAAGTAATCCCTGCTGTATACATGCTTAAGAGTGTAATTTTAGCTAAATAAAACAGTTGTGACCAAGCTCTTGCCTGCATCCTCAGTGAGAAGCCCACACCTGTGGAGTGCTGCAGGAGAGCCCATCCATTCTGACTCCTCCACCCGGCACCCATATGCTCCCTCTTGGTTCCTTCAGCCATCTCAGACCAATACCTGACAAACTCTTCAGATGCTCTCTGTTGCACTCTCTTTGCATCAGCAGATACAAAGGAGAAATTGATTTATTTATTCTGTATATCATAGTGCTTTCTTAATATACTGCTAGAATAATCCATGTCTCTTCCAGAGAGTCCTGGGAGAAGGTCCAGTAGAAGCTGGTGCTGTATTTTAATTGGGTTATCCAAAAAGCATCCTTCTCTTTGCCCGCAGGGAAGGCCTGAGCTATCCATCATTCCTGCCTCAATTTAAGAGGTTGTATCAGGCTCCATCACGCAACTGTCATATAAGATTTGACAGGAGGGTTGCACTGCCCAGCACTCCTTTAATGTTCAGAACTGACCGTTATGCAAGGAGAGAACTGGTGAAGGGGGGTGGTAAGGTTTTCACTTATTATACCTTGCTTTTCAGGATGAACTTGTTCAAATTATTTCCAGCCTTAAACATTTGCCCTAGAAAACTGTTCTGAAATCTGATGGAATATAGAAATAAGATTGCTCCACTGCACATTTACAGTGACAGACAGAAAACTTGTGTGCTGGAAGATGTCCGTGATGACTTGCCATCCCAAGGCGCCTGGAAGCGTTCGTACCCAGCTGGCTGTATTGCACCCGAGTGTGGAGAAACCTGACAAGGCTCCCTTTCCCTCAAGCAATCATGAAAAAACTCAGCTGATTCAGTTTTGAATGTTCTTTGCACTGCTCAGCAGCTATACTGATCATCATCTGAGGAGAAATAACTTGGTGTTTCTGTTGGTTTGTGGCAAGCAAAGTATTAGTTTTCTGTTTGTGCGATTGGAAGGGTAGTTCACTTCTAACTGACCCCATAATGGACCTAAACCAGTATGATTTTTCTTAGTGACCAGTGAGCATCCATGACTCCTATTACAAAGAAAATTGGTTTTGTGACTAGGAGCAGAAGGGCAGGGTGAATAGGAGCTGTATGAGCAGTGTGTTAACTGAAGGCTTATAGCCTTGTCAAATTCAGATTTTAAAATACTTTGGTAATGCTTCCATCCTTGTGCACCAAGTACCATATTATATATAAATCACTCTGAAAACTTCCACCTTAAATGGGTTGCCTGCTAGTCCCAGTTCATGTAGTGGCTGTCCTGCCTTTATACCCTGTGCAAATATGCAGAAACTGCCAGCTTTCCCTTTGCTGTTGTCTTGCATTTGGTCCTTCCATCTGTGCGTTTCTCACAGGTTTCCTTGTTGTATCTGAATGTAAACCCATAAGGGCAGTGACTGTTTTCTGTTGTCTGTATAACTTTGACCACCACTGAATAGTCAGAAAAGCTTTTCATGGCAGAATGAGGAAGCACGAATTGTGTGATGTATCCTCCTTGCTCAAGGTCCATTACAAACCACATCAACTAGGTGCCGGTTACTGAGTTACTAAATGAAAGATCATGCCAATGAGCTTCGTGATCTGAATTAAAACAGGACTGTGATTCAGAGCTGGTAACAGAGCTTGCAAAACCCGGGAATTCATCAGCTTCGAGATAGCTTACAAACACTGCTCTTCATGCAGAGGAGTAAGCAGGGAGAGTGGGGGATTAAATTGTGCTGTGGCGCTGTGTTGGTGTGAATGTTTCAGCTTTGTTCTTCCTTCTGGCAAATTGCAGAATGACTTGCATTGACAAGAAGATGCCTGCGTGGCCTGACTGTCCTGCAGTGTAGCAGAGCTGCAGGCACGTTCGCACCAGTAACTTTTCTATGCCGGTGGCAGAGTCAGCGTGAAGGAGCTCTTGCCTGCTTGGTTCACAGGCTGCTTCACCGTTAATGCAGGTCTCCAGAGCAAGGAACTCGCTTCTCAGGTTAGGTCATGCAGGCAGTCTCCCTGTCATTTCATTGAAGAGAAGGATGTTGGCCTGCATGCACACAGACTTGAATAACTTGTCTGCAGGACAAGGCATGTGGTTGTGTAAAAACAAGCCTCCAGAGATACATGACCAGATTGTCCATTGGAAAAGCCAGTGTGATTAGATGGTACTTCCTGGTGGAATTTGTAAGTGTTTGATGTACCCAAGTGTGACATTCGAGGTCAGCTTTTGGTACTGCATTGGGAGCAACAGCCATTTCTTGCTTTACCTTCCTCCCTTGGCAAACATGTTGGCGAAAAGAGGGATGTAAAAGCAAGCATAGGTGGGTGAGCTGCACTATATATCGCTTGCTGTTGGAAGAATAGAAGTCTGTTTTGACTGAGAAAAATGTTGTCTTGTTATCTAGGATTGTTTTTAATGTCCTGCCTTGCTTATAGGATGACAATGTTAAGCAGTTAGCCAATGGACACCTTAAATCCTGATGGGAACTGGACTTCTTCCATATAGTCTGGTTCCCTCCCTTCTGCATCTCTTAACAGTATCATCTTCATTACTCCATGAATTCCCTTTTCCTTCCAGTTACAAGTCAAATTGTTTGTGGTTCTGTCAGTGCAACTTAGTATGAACTCATGTTGCCCTGTAGCCTGTCATTGATGCTGGGGCTCCAGGCAGAGTGATGCAGAGTATGGTCAAGGTTGTGTCCTTCTAATCTGACTCTCATTTTTCTTGCAGACATGGGTCATGGAGAGAGCCTGTTAATCCTTACTATGTCAACACGGGCTACGCTTTGGCACCAGCAACCAGTGCCAATGACAGCGAGCAGCAGAGCATGTCCAGTGATGCCGATACGATGTCGCTGACAGACAGCAGCGTGTAAGTAACTCCAGTCTAATGGACAATAAGTGGGACAATAGCATGCTTGTTTCTTGAGCAGTGGTACTTACCTGGGTACTTCCCTTGGCTTTTTTTGCTGCCAGACTGTGCTCAGTCTGCAATTACTCTTCAATAGGATTGGTGGCTGACCAGTTCTAGTTTATGTGTGGTGACCACCGCACTTTAACACAACTTGCACTGATAAAGCCCCACCTGATCTTTTCTGCTTTATCTAGTTCTGATCCTCATGACAGTCCCCTTTGTCTTACCCATGAGATACCTTCCTTAAAGATGGTCTGCAAAGGGAGAAAAAAGGGATTCTTCTTGTGACTGCATCTCTGTGATGGAAAAAAAAGGATTTGGGGGGAAATATTCAGTGTTTTGTCTGTTTTTTTAGTAGTGCAAATGCTTCTGTAGAGCAGAAACCCTTTGATTCTTCAAGCGAAAGATGACAGGTTTACAGAATTAGGAGAGGGTTTTATTAACTTCAGTGCTGTAAACACAAAGTCCTCCAAGAGGCTCATTTAGTCTCACTGTGAATATCAGGAGCTGTCAGACCTTGTTGAAGCAACTTTCCAACCTGTGTCACAGATGTTGTTAAGAGGTGCCACAGCAGATGCCCTCAGTGAGTACCATGAGCTGGTGAGCGTGCAGCATGATAAGGGGGATTCTGTGTGTAGTGTGCTTGTCTGGCTTCATGGAGGCATGGAGCCTTTTAGGATCAGCTGTTGAGTCCACTTCACTCCTTGGCACCAGCTCCTTATACCTTACCCATGCCATGTTACAAAACGGAGGAGGCAGGCCTTGGCCAAAGGGGCATGGGAGGATACCCCTAAGACAGAAAGCTGTAGAGGACTGCTGATTGAAGGCTCTGTTTGATACAAGTCCAGCTGCTTTGCTGCATCCTTCTGTGATTCTTCATATTCATCAATTTGTATGGAGGAGTACTCTGAAGCTAGCAGGGGTCGTGTAACTTCTAGTTATCAGGAGAGACATGCAAGAACTCTTCAAAATTAATTAGCTTTTAGCGCTTCCTTTTCCACTGGTCCAGTAGGCTCATGGGGTTGCACTGATGGTTATACCTGCGATAAGTTGTGATCATTTATGCTGGAGTTCTTCACCCTTCTAATTTTTATTTCAGTAGCCATAATTTATTTCTTTCACAAGGGGAATAATTTCTGTTCGACTATCTTATGCATTCTTTTTTCTTTGCTCCTTTTTCCTTTAGACATTTTATCACTTCTATGCCCACCATCCCTCCTATGCTTCTAGGACTTTTAATTACTTCTGATATGTGGGCTGACTTCTGCTAATAATTAACCCAATCTCAGTGGTTCATTTTAAGTCTCAAAAATCTTAAGGGTAAACCAGTGATCTTTCTTCCTGCGCATCTTAAACTGGGTCCATGCACATTGATCCCCAAACTGGGATTCTAGATGTACAGCCTTGACCTTTGGCTTACAAAAACTCTGTTTATTTTCAGCACTTGCTCTTCATTACATGCTTTAGAACTCTGGTAGCAGGTTTTGTTCGGGTTTTACGTGGCATTGCAGAACCTATCTGCCTCCTGAGTTTCAAAGGAATTTTTGCAGAATTGCTCAAGGCAGCTAAAACGAAGAGCAACCAGATGCAAGTTAAAGAAGGGACTCCTGCTGCTTGACAAGACTTACATGTCTTGGTGCTTTGAATTTAGGCCTCCTCTGAGGAAAATGGCAATAAGAGCCTCGTTTGCTGATGAGTGAGGTTCTTCCCTATGTGTGCTGTTTACATACAGCAGTCAAGCTCAATAATGAATAAATCTGGCTTCTGCTCCAAGGCAGCACATGAATGGGTGCGATCCCAAGGCAGAAACCTCTGTGACTCTCCATCAGAAGAGAATGTGTCTGGACAATCAGGATGCAAGCATCGGTTAATTGGGAAGCACTGATAAACCAGGGAAGCAGGGAGGTGCACAGAGATCATGGCTAGATGCAAGGCACGCTCTTCAGTGTTGGCCAGTTCATGTCGGTGAAGGCAGACACATTGAGCAGTTGCTTGTTCTCTAGTGTCACCAGCTCCCTTCCAAGCTTTGATATGGTATGGATCATGGGAATGTGGGGTTTGGATGTGGCTTCAGGCACAGCCCAGCTATGCAAAGCCACTAGCAGAGACCTGAGCAATGCTTTGGCTGCCTGGCCTCCTGAGTTGCGGTGGGGGGAGGCAGGCACAGGCTTTTCAGGAGCATCCAGCTTACCAGAGTGTTTTTAAAAGTCATTTCTGTGGTACCAGCTACAAACATGCTTGTCTAAAAGAAACTTTCAACAGGATGTCTTTCCAAGCACTGGTAAATATTATTGTAATGGGTTGAATTTATATAACAAATATGTTATCGGTCCCTGTTGTTCAAGGAGTTTGCGTTTTGAGTGGCTTAAAAAACATTGCTCTTAAATGCCTGCGCTCCACTGGTTATTTTTCAGTCTTCCTGTGTCATACAAATTCCTCTGCCCTTGTAGGCAAAACAGCTTCAGTCCTCTCTGTTGAAGCCTGTTTTTATAATCGGCACCACAGCTGTGTTGTTTTAGCTGGTTTCTGTGGAGGGAAGGTCTGGAGAGGACACGGTGAAAGGCTTCAGAAAGCGCTGGCCCGGCAAGCGTGCCTTGGCCACATGTGGGGCTGAGTTGCTCAGCACTGGTGTTCGGGGTGGGTCAGTGGTGGGTTGGGGCTCTGCCTCCATCCTGGGCAGCTTGGAACCTGCCCCAGGCTTGCAGCACCATTTGCAGTGCAGTCCTGAACTGCTCTTGCTGTCTCTGATAACCCCCACATAAGGATAGCATTTTTCCCAAGTGGAGGAAACAGCCTCTGGGTAGGAAGGGTTGTCACAACAGAGATGCTTAAGGGAAATTAAGGCAGCTGTAGGTAGGAACACTGCAGGCAGAAGCTGAAATGCATTAAATTGCCATGTGAAGCTCCAGTTCAGATGCAGAAACACCTTAGGTCCATATGTTTCATTGTTTCTGCAAGAGCTTACATGGGTAAACAAGAGGTAGTGTGTCCTCTTTAGCCCAGTGTTGTGGTCCAACTAAACAACAATACTCCTTCCTCTGGCTCTTACTGCATGTCCTGCATTATCTTGGTTGGCTGACAGCTTTGCTTTCCCCCAGGGGCCTGGGAAGCCCTCCATGCTGGTGGGTTTGGCTGGAGGGATACTTACTCTTCCCCAGTTCCAGTCAAACATGCTTGAGAGTAACGGTGGCCATTTGCTGGAGCAAAGGGGGTTAGGACAGCGGTAACTCATGCAAAAAACCTTGTGGATTAAATATTGTCAGATGACTGGCCTTTGGCCAAAATGCCTGGTGATTTTCCCATAATGCTTCTTTATGTGAGAAGGGTCTCTCAGTGACAGTGGTGCTTTGGGCACAGTAATTGGTAGAAAATACCAGTTTTGCTGTGGATTTGTTTCCTGTCTTTCCTCTGGCCAGTGATTCAGAATGACTTTGAGTTCTGCTGTATTTAAACAAGTTTAACAGCTTTTTAATTTAAAAGATCCCAAATGGTGATTTCCAACTTGTTAGGCTTGATGGTTGGGTTTGAAGCCTGCCTATGGAGAAGCAAAGACAGCCCTTGTTAGAAGAGTCCAACTGCAGAGCCGCACCAAAACCTTCCTGCTCACTAGAGCCTCTTGCAGGTCGGTTTGGAGAGGAGAGGAAACCCCCACATTCCCCAATAGCAAACCAATTGCTTTATCATTAAATGAATGATAGAAAGACTTGCTCCCCCTGTTGCATTTCAACACAGAGCTTCTTGGTGTTACAGAAAATCACATGGTGAAACAAGGAAAAACAGTTTGGGAAAGTTTTATTTTAAAAGTGGATGTGCTCTAAAAAAGTTTTGATTTTTTTTATATATATATAATATTTCTCTATCTATTGAAAATATCTCAAAGCAAGCTACCTGACAAAAGGAAAACAAAAGTACGGTATTGGTTTTCCTTGCTTTCCCCCCATCTATTGAATAAGGTTTTGTTGGGATAAAATTAAAGTGCTTATCTTTGAATTTGCTTCCTCTGGTTGAGTTGGCACAGTACATTGAACGAAGGAATGTTCCAAGTTCAGAGGTGGCATTGGGGAATCTAGTTAAAATGACATCAAAGGCAGCACAGCAGGGCTGAACATGTGTTTGAAGCCGGATAGATTAGAGGCCATTATCAGCCTTTCGCTACTGTGCTGGGAACAAAAGTCGCTCTTCCGCTGGGACTGCTGCTGGGGAGAATTAGAAAAAAAAGAGAGAAAGAAAGAAAAATTGCACCTTCTAATATAATGCCTCTTTTCCCGCGAATGGCTGTGTGGCGAGTTGCTGGCAACCAGGTTTTGTGCGGCGGTTAAGCTGAAATGTTGTCTATTGATGCCGACCAGCGATGGCTACAATAATCCCCCAGATTTTGAGTTTTATGTTTTCCTGTAAAAGTTGCCAATTGTTCATTGCCATCCAGCCTGGAAAAAGCTGCATGGTGATGGGATGGAACTCTCTAACCGTTGTGACTCTCAAGCTATTTTTCAAATGGAGGTTTGTCATTAAAGAAAATGAAGCTGGCTAATGAAAGCCGTCGTAATTGCCTGTCGGTATAGCAACGCTTGGGCAAATTGCTGCTCCTGTAAGGTGTCACTGCCGGGCGCAGCAGAGGTGATGCTCTTCCTCCTCCCGCATTACCTGCAGCCACTAGCCAGAGCTGTAATTAGCCTGGCTAATTTTCTGTTGTCTCATTTGTCTTCCTACTAAAAAGCACTTGTCATTAATCGCAGGTTTTATTTTGTTTTAATGGTATTTAATTTTGAATGCCCGAGTTACTGCATGAAATTGAATTCTGTTGTAATTTGGTGGCAATTCTGCCTGCACCCACATTTCCAGAGAGCCAGCGGGCTGCAGGCACGATGGAAATGAGAAAGAAAGCTGATGCTGACTATCCTTGCACAGGCTGGTGCTTGTAACTCGGGAGGTTTGCAGGCAAAGCAGTACAGAAAATTGTGTTTTCCTTGCCAAATGGCATTTCAAGTTTAGAAATTCACTGGTTAAACTGTTTAGTTTATGCTCTTGAGAAGCAGCTGTGCTTGGCAATTGAGGAGGGGGGTGGGTGCTAAAGACATTTGGCTTGTGCAAACATCTTTTCTTTGTGATATGTGTTGGGACTGGCTCATTTGCACTGCTCAGAGTGGTGTGGGGTTGGATGGAGACAGTGTGCATGCATGGAAGTTATTTGGTACTTTGGACAAACCAAATCCCTCCATTCACGTCCTCCCATTTCTGTAGCATTGCACGTCCTTCCCAAGCAGTTACTTTTACTGTGTCAGTGAAATGTGTAAAATAAAAAAGAAAGCTCCAAATTGCCAGGCAGTGTTTTCATGTTCATTGTTTTTTCTCAAAATAACCTGGTGTCACCAGGAGATGGGCCCCTGACCCTATCTCGTAACTGGGCTCCACTTCATGCACATTCTTCTCGCCCTGGTTCTAAGCAGGCTGGTCACAGTGATGGGAACAAGAATGTATTTCAAGATCAGAGCATCCCGACACATAGGAAGTCAAGGAAGAGGGTCAGGAGACCTGCGTGGCTAAATAGGGAATTGCTGGGTATGCTCAAGTGGAAGAGGAGAGTTTACAGGTCATGGAAGGAGGGGCTGGCCACTTGGGAGGAATATAAGGCTGCTGCTAGAGGATGTAGGAAAGCTGCTAGGATGACTAAGGCCTCCTTGGAATTAAAGCTGGCGAGAGGGGTCAAGGACAGCAGAAAGAGCTTTTTCAAATACATGGCAGATAAAACTAACACCAGAGGCAATGTAGGCCCTGGTGACAGAAGATACAGAGATGGCAGAGTTACTGAATGCCTTCTTTGTCTCTGTCTACTCTGCCGGAGGCAGTCCTGAAGAGCCCTGTACCGCTGAGACCTCAGATGAAGTCAGGTCATCGGAGCGGTTTGCCTTAGTCGATGAGGAATGGGTTAGAGACCAGTTGAGCAATCTGGACATCCATAAATCCATGGGTCCAGAAGGGATGCACCCGCGGGTGCTGAGGGAACTGGTGGAGGTCATTGCTAGACCACTCTCCATCATCTTTACCAAGTCTTGGGAAACGGGAGAGGTGCCTGAGGACTGGAGGAAAGCAAATGTCACTCCTGTCTTCAAAAAGGGCAAGAAGGAGGACCTGGGTAACTATAGACCAGTCAGCCTCACCTCCATCCCTGGGAAAGTGATGGAACACCTTATCCTTGGTGCCATCTTAAGGCATATCAAGGATAAGAGGGTTATGAGGGGCAGTCAACATGGCTTCACCAAGGGGAAGTCGTGCTTGACCAATCTCGTAGCCTTTTATGAGGAAATAACACGGTGGATGGATGATGGCAGAGCGGTGGATGTGGTCTACCTCGACTTCAGCAAAGCGTTTGACACGGTCTCCCACAGCATCCTTGCAGCTAAATTGAGGAAGTGTGGTCTGGATGATCGGGTAGTGAGGTGGACTGTGAACTGGCTGAAGGAGAGAAGCCAGAGAGTTGTAGTCTATGGGGCGGAGTCTAGTTGGAGGCCTGTATCTAGTGGAGTGCCTCAAGGGTCAGTACTGGGACCAGTATTATTTAATATATTCATCAATGATTTAGATGAGGGAATTGAGTGTACTATCAGCAAGTTTGCTGATGACACTAAGCTGGGAGGGGTGGCCGACACGCCAGAAGGCTGTGCTGCCATCCAGAGAGACCTGGACAGGCTGGAGAGTTGGGCGGGGAATAACTTGATGAAATATAACAAGGGAAAGTGTAGAGTCCTGCATCTGGGCAGGAACAACCCCAGGTTCCAGTATAGATTGGGGAACGACCTGTTAGAGAGCAGTGTAGGGGAGAGGGACCTGGGGGTCCTGGTGGACGACAGGGTGACCATGAGCCGACACTGTGCCCTTGTGGCCAAGAAGGCCAATGGCATCCTGGGGTGTATTAGAAGGGGGGTGGTTAGTAGGTCGAGAGAGGTCCTCCTTCCCCTCTACTCTGCCCTGGTGAGACCGCATCTGGAATATTGTGTCCAGTTCTGGGCCCCTCAGTTCAAGAAGGACAGGGACCTGCTGGAGAGAGTCCAGCGCAGGGCAACTAAGATGATTAAGGGAGTGGAGCATCTCCCTTATGAGGAAAGACTGAGGGAGCTGGGTCTCTATAGTTTGGAGAAGAGGAGATTGAGGGGTGACCTTATTAGTGTATATAAATATATAAAGGGGGAGTGTCACGAGGATGGAGCCAGGCTCTTCTCAGTGGCAAACAATGATAGGACAAGGGGCAATGGGTACAAACTGGAACACAAGAGGTTCCACTTAAACTTGAGAAGAAACTTCTTCTCAGTGAGGGTGACAGAACACTGGAACAGGCTGCCCAGGGGGGTTGTGGAGTCTCCTCCTCTGGAGACATTCAAAACCCGCCTGGACACGTTCCTGTGTAACCTTATCTAGGTGTTCCTGCTCCGGCAGGGGGATTGGACTAGATGATCTTTTGAGGTCCCTTCCAATCTCTAGCATACTGTGATTTCCTTTCTTCACCTGCAGTCATATTCAGCCAGTGATGCTTTGCCGCTAGGGGTGCTTAGTAAAGCCTGGTGCCTCTGAACCCCCTGAGATGCCATCACTGGGACTGACGTCCACCCTGCCCTGCATGCACCCTGGCACACCAGGTCTGCACCACTGCCCAGTGCATGGCAGAGCCACAGACCCAGCTCCTGGTCTTCTGGGACCAGGGATCGTTGCCACCACCATCAGTTCATCTCTGCAGAGACACAGATCTCTGTCGCCAGCTTTTCCAGCAAGGGCACAAACCTGAATAGGACTGGATGTCACTGCCCATGGCATCCCTTCCTAACCTCATCCAGCCTCCTCTGGAGAGAGGGCTAGGTCCTTTCACAGTAACTCCAGTATCAAGCCCATAATTTCAGACTGAGTTGGGGATCATCGTAAGAGCAGCAGAGCCTACCCCTTCACTTTGATAAACCATTTGAGAAGTTGTCGTGCCCTCTTAAAAATGTATACCTTGTTCCCCAAGCAAGGTGTAGATGCTTACTGAGCTCCCACTCCTCCTCCCCCTCCTAGTCTGCTCTGTGGTTTAATGTGTATATTACAGGCTCTTTAAGAGAAAGCAACCAACTATGAAAGGTACCAGGATGTGGTCCAACTCCTTCTCCCTGCCCTCTGTCAGGAGCAGTGATTGCAGGAGCCCTACCTCAGTCTGCTCCTGGCGGATGCCATGTAAGTCCCTCCTGACACCCAGTGCCAAGAGCATTGCTTGTGCAGGAAGCTCAGTCAGCATCATTCCCCACACAGATTCCTCTTGTTCTGCTGCACTTGCGCTGGGCATGCCAAGCCTTTCTCAAAGGTAAAGGGGTTTCCTACCTGGCACTGTGCAGCTGCAAAGCTTAAGTGAACGTAAGGTATCAGAGAAAGGCACTAAAGCAGGGCATGTTGTTGTTTTATTCCGGCAGAGATGGGATCCCACCATACAGACTCCGAAAGCAGCATCGCAGAGAGATGCAAGAAAGTGCCAAAGCAAATGGACGTGTGCCACTACCTCACATTCCTGTAAGTAGCACTATCTCCTTCCCCAGAGGTAAATATGCAAAATATGTGAGAGCTCTAGTGTACAGTTGCTCTGCTTTCTCCAGTTTAACCCCCTTAGCACTGTGTTCATTTGAGGATGTTTTAAGATGGATGTGGACCGTACTAAGAAAGGGCTTGGTAGTTTTCTGCCAAATTCATTATCCAGAGCTGCCCCAGAAAGCATAATTTTTCTTAACTGTTCAGTCAGTAGCCAACTGTTTCTCCTGGAGAAGGGAAGCACTGGCTGGTATTTACCTGCAAGCAGGTTACATGCCCTCGGGTGAGCTGAAGGTGTTTGTGGAAGGTGTAGGAGGTCATTGGACATAGAGGATGATGTAGCTCCCAGCCAAGGTCAGCTGGGGAGAAATGCAACTGTCCCAAGCTGTATTTCTGCACTGGGCAGCCAAAGGCAGCTGTAACCTGTTCTCAAGGACTTGGCAAAGCCTGCCTGGGGATATGAGACAGGCGAGCAAAGAAAGTGCAGGCGTAAGTATTTGTCTGACTCTGTCTCTCCAGTTGCTCCAGGTAAGCAGCCAGCTTCTGGGAGATGAGCATAACTGCTAGGGCTCTGCAGCACCATCTGCAGCTCTGCTTATTATTACTTTCTTTTTGTGAGAAGTTACAGGTGACATTTAATATCTAGCAGGGAATAAAGGTGCTTCTTTCCCTTTTGGACAGCTGGACTCCAGCACAAATCAAACAGAGAGAAAAACAGCTTCCATCTGCTTTCTCCAGAAGTGCCTTCAAACTTGACACAGCTGTTTTCATCCTGCCTGCTCAAAGCAGCACAATACCAGCAGCAATGCACCCTTGTTTTAATCTGATTTGGTGGGTTTTTTTAAGAACCCAAAAACCCCAAACCACCACTCTTTGTTTTGCCTTTTAAATTAGATTATTTTCCTTAGATTTAAGAGGGTCTCCTGTGCTTTGATCACTGGGTTGACAATAAAAGCCCTGGCTGCGGACGCTCACTAGCCATCCTTGCTCAGTCACCTCTCTTTTCATACAGTTGCTTTCACAGTGTGCTCACTGTTGAAAAGGCTGGCTGGGTGCCTTTTTATTTCACTCGATGCCGTTTTTACTGTAAGCATGGCTTTGTTAGAGTTGAAGTTTGAAAGCTTGGCCTTTATTTTTTGTTATTGTTGTTGCTGTTCCCCAACAGTGGGAACGACTGAGTGAATATTCTCCAACTTCAAAGCTTGTCAGTGGCTTTACCTTTTGGATAAAAATAATAGTGCCTTTCTGTTGATCGTGTGCACTGCCAATGCCTCAGTGAACTGCAGGTTATAAACTCGGAGTATGGAGCATTAAATATGTATAGTGAGCTCTGCTTTAACAAACTTCCATCTGCCAAACATTTCTTTTGTTGAACTGAATAAGTGTCATTCCAGCAGCAGTTCCTTGCAGGCTAATTAGTTTTATTTAGCATTAAATTTTAGCAGCCTTTTTGGAAACCAGTTTAAAAAGGGAGGGGAAATCAAGGTTTAAATTGGCCACCTGCTGCTTATAAATTTTTATATTATCCTACTTATCTACACAGTCTTTTAGAATTACATATTCCTCCTAAACTACACATAGATGCTTCACAAGGATTTTTCTGTGAAACATCCACTGTTCCCATTAGGTTCTGCACTGTAATTTTAAGTCTCAGGGAAAAAGGCATCTTGATGCATATTTATATGGGAGTGGAGGTCTGAGAAGTTGAGTTAGTTCTAGTCTTTCTCCAGGGAATAAAAGTTTAGTTCAGACACTCTGGCACCTCCTGCCAGCCAATTACTGACACAGAATTGGCATCGACTTCAGAGAGGCACAGCTCTGCCCTCACTTATCAATCAGGCAAGAAAGGAGAAGGTAATTAGACAATATGTTTTGACAACACCAGTGTGAAATGTTATAAAGTTAGTCTTTTAAAATCACCTCGAACTGCACACTTATTGAATTAAATGTCCCCAATTAGCAAGGAGCCATGCAAATGTTTCTTCAAGTGGTGCTTTCCAAAGCCAGTGGTTAGCCTATCTCACAGCCCCCAGCTAAAGCAGTCTCCATCAGCTGCCTAGACCTGGTGGTTACCATGCTTTTAAACATGCAGCAATGACTAATTTCCAACCTTTGAGTGAATGTCTTTATGGACTCATATCTAACCAGTGTAACCAGAGTCTGTACTGATAGTGCTTGCAGAATGCATGGCATGTTTTCCTAGCGATAGTAGAAAACCTCCTACTTCCGAAAAGCCATTTCAGAAGTCCTTTAGAGACCTTACTGTTCCCTTACAAATGAATTATGGGGCTATTACACAAAATTCTGAAAGAACTTATATTACTTTTAATAGCAGCACTTTTAGTTAGGTCCAGAAGCTATAAACTCTACTGATTATGTGTTCATAGGAGACTGCCTGCTAGGTTCAACAGCTGTGCTGCCTCCTAATAATGAAGGTATGTGCTGGTTGTGTGGGATGCCCTGCTGTGCAGCAGGAGATCTTGGTGCACGAATGGCTGTGTTCTGCACCTTCCACACTTCCCAGCTCACCAATGCTCCAAGTTTGGAAAAGCTGTGCTTTGTAAAATGGCTCTCTGCCCAGGAATGCAGTGGGTGAAGATCACTAGCAAGCAGTGAGACCTTTGTTTTGTGCCTCTGGCAGGAACCCATTATATGGCAAACGAGTGTTGCTTTTCATGTGGTTTTGCGTCTCTCTTGGATTCAAACAGAGACTTGGAGCACCAAGGAAGGAAAGAGCAAGCCAGTTCCCAAAGGAAGGGTGAAGACAGAATGCAGGGCTATATGTATGCAAGGTGGCTTCCATAGCATGCTTGAGTTCAGCACAAGATTTTGAGTGACCCCTGTGCTATGCTGTACAAGTAAGGAGTGTATGGGATGAGGCCCGGTCTTGTGCTGCCTGGATAACCACAGCTAAATGAGCTTTCTGCTCCTGCAAGTTGGAAACATGCTCAGAATTCCCATCAGCCGTTTCATGCCATTCTCCTCAAATGCCTTGCAGCACTGGGACTCCTTGCTAATCCTTGAATGCTGCTAACGTGGATGTTAAAATTCAGCTATCCATGAGCTTTGAAACAAGCATTTGTGGTGTGGAAACACCGTTTATTCTTTAAAACCATGTGTCACAGAGGACTGCATTAATCTGGGAAAGGTGGAGGTTCAGAAGTTCTTTTCTCTTGGCTTCTCTAGCCTGCTGTCTTCCTTTAATTTGCAAGACTGACTTGTGAGCTGAAGTTGGCCACTCAGGCATTATGAAGGCATCAAACCTCCTGTAGAAGAGGGAGATTTAGCAGCACAGAATTCTTTGACCCAGTTGGATGTGTCAGAAATGGATCCCTGGGGCTGGTTGGAGACCTCTAGCCAATGATAATGTTGTAAAACTTCCTGTTTCATCTCAGAGCAGCTGAGCTTTATTCTGCCTAAGGAGAACCTGCAAACCAGAGTGAAATTCTTCCCTTTCAGCCTTTTCATGTATAAATCATAGTAAAACCAGACATTTAGGATGCTGGTGTGTTCTGATGTGCAACTTGGTCCTCAGAACTCAGTTTCTCAGGGAAAGTGAATTGCATCAAAACCCGAAACCTGCATGAGCCTCATGGAGCCAAATCCGTTGCAAATCTGACTCTGTCAGCTTCAAGAAAAGGAGAAAACATGATAGCAGGAGCTAAGTGGAACTACTAAAGAGCTTGTGTATCTCATATGTTCTTAGCAGGCTGCTTCTTCCCAAAGGTACCAGAGACTTCACATGTCAAGGAAAATGTTGTGGTGATAGGTACCCCAGGAAATACTTCCTCACAGCTGTCACTAGGAAAGATTGCTTCATGCAGAACACTTCAAGCAATTTCTTTCTTGCCAACCTATCTGGCATTCACCCTCCCATCTGTTGTCCTCTGCAACCTCCACAACTCAGCGTGGTTTGGTTATGGAAAGGTCTAAATAGAGCTCGCTCTCTGAATTGTTGACCCATAATGTCCAGAGATCTCCTTCTGGTTCAGACTGGAGGGCTGGATCCTCCAAAACCAGACAGCTCTTGGAGAGTTCTGCACCCTTTATTTGGAACAAAAGCATTTGGAGCAATAAACTGGCAGGGCTGTGTATGTCCACATGAATCCAGGGACAAGTTCAAAATTCTGAAGCCCTGGAGGATCCTCCTCTGGGCATAGGCTCAGCCTGGCTGATCTTGGATGGAGCATGTCTCCCTTCATTCCTCTTCATGGAGCGTGATTCCCTTCAATGTCAAGCCCATTATTCCATAAACGTTTCAAATGCACCGTTTTAAGCCTTTTGAACCAGGTAAATGCAGTCCATGTTTGCTGTCCAGGGAGACAGGGAGAGCCCTCAGCAGTTATCTGTGTTGTTTTAGCACAGAGAATTTGCATTCATTACTCTGCGGTACTGCTGGTTTTGGGGAAGCCTGTGTAGCTCATCCTTTGAGCTAGGAATAAAGTCAGACCCATAGCAGCAGTGTTCAGAGCATCATCCTACTTGTGAGTTTTCTGTGAGTGCCCCTTACAGAACAACACAGGGCACTTACAGCCAATATCTGTGCAGTGATGCGAGGCTGCTTTGAACTTGGATGGTCAGGGAGACTTGCAGAAATGACTTCAAAGAGGAGGCTGCATCTTGCACCCTCGAACAGGACCTCTGCAAGCCATCCCACTGAGTGGAAGTCTCCAAGTATGAGGCAGTGGGTTTTGCAAATGCAGTGGTTTATCAAAGAGAGAGGAAAACAAAGTTCATCCTAAAGATTCTTGGGTTCAGTTACTTTAATTTCTGTAGTTAAGCTTTAATCACCTTCAGACTTTGAGAGCTATAAAAGACCAAAGTCATCTTGAGTTCCCTGGCTACAGCAGTGACTCTGAATGTCTTCAGGTCCTCATCAGAGATGGAGCTGTGGTACTTAAGCTTTGCTGAGCCTGGAGGCAACCACCTTATTGTAACAGGACTTGAACATGCAGGTTAGCAAACATCAGCCTTTGCACCCACTATTGCTGGGGGCTCAGGAGAGACTTTGGTTTGGGATGCTGCAATGCATCGAAGGCTTTGAAAGTAAAGGGAAATTCTTTCCCAGTTGGGCTTTTCCATGGAAGCCACTGTGGTAGCTGCAGCAGGGAGACCCAGGACTGTAACTGCTGAGCACCAACCTGCCTCTCATTAGGCTCATTAAGTTTCTAACGGAGCAGGACTTGGTGCTGCGTCGTATAAACAACCGCAGGGAGAGTTGGCATGTCTGAGGTGGCAGGAAGGAGTGAACACACCACTGACGGGTTGCGACTTGTCAGGCAAGAGAGAGATTTCCCTCCTTAGGGAGTCGCTGGCACTGCCTCACCAGGTGCATGGTGGTGGTCATGGGTTTGGGGTTTCTGATGAAAGCAGACTGCCTTAGCCAGAAGTGTTCCCTTGGGCTATGCAGGGGGAATAGGGAGATATCAGTTGGATCCTAAAAGCTCCCCAGGGAGTAACAGAGCAGGGACAAGTTCTGTCATGCCTTCCCCCATAATGGAGCATGTCTGGGGCCCATTTCTGGACAGCACAAATTCCAGGCTCTGGGATGAAGCATGCCACTTCAGCCTGTGTGCCAATATTTCAAGACTAAATGTCATTTTTTGTTGATGGAAATCTTTTCCTGCAGTATTTATTTTTGATACAGGCCATTGATTTGCTGGAGGACCTGGTGGCAGCAGAGTTTGCCATGCCAGGGTGGGAGCCACCTGGTAGTTTAAACATGCTTATGCCCTCCCCAGCATCCGCATCCCTGGATAAACGGGATGGGTGGTTGGGGCCCTTTCCAGCTTGGATGGGACTGTCCTACGTGGGACAGCTTCAGAGCTGTCAGCCCCTCTGCTTGTCACGGAAAGTTGGTGCTAGAGCAGGCAGCCCTATGCCTGCAAAGCTGCATGGTGTGTGCAGATGTCCCCTGGGATGCTGCAGCACAGCACCATCCAGAATGGAAGGGAAGGCCACAGCATTGGGACTGGGATTTGCTGGCAGGGTTGGGTCTTGCTCTCAGCGAACAAACCAAGTGATGCTTTAACTGAGACTCTGCAACCCAACTCGGCTGTCACAAAAGATGTCTTTAGCTTCTCGATGCCTCTGTTTTTCTTCCTTTGCCTTCCACTTGGGAGCTGGCAGAATGAAAACCCGATGTGATTTGCATACTTTTTGTCAGGTTTATTTTAGTCTTCCACATTGATCTTTTGGCTGATCTGGGATATATTTGGGTGGTCTCTCATCCTCCTTTAAAGATTTCAAGCTCGATGTCTGCTTCTGGTGCTGCATTTGTTCTTTTGCTGTGAATTATCTCACATCTTCACATTTCATTTTATCTCTGGTCCTAGAGTGTGTATATCTCTCATGTTGGTATCGAACTATTTGAATGCAGGTTTTTATACTGTTGAATTCTCCGTATATTTTTTTTCTCCAAATTAAATTTTTAACTCTGCTGTGTTATTTTTTCTACTATTTTAACAAAATAATGCAGAAGGAATAAAAATGAGGGGGAAAAAACCAGCAGCTGATAGCTTCATACTTCAGTACACAAACTTCTTATCCCAGAGCTCAGGAATTTAAGAACAAAGTAGCTCAGCATTAGGAAGGAAGAATGCCCTTGAAATTCAGAAATATTCATTTGTTCACCCAGAGCAAGCAGAAAAATTGTATCTCTGTGCTTGTAAGGTTGCTGTATTGACAGAGCAAGCAGGGGATTGCTGGTTGCACAGCTCTGAAGAGCTAAGATGCAATCCTGCAGGATTCTCTAGTAAGAGAGGATGCTTTGTGGGAATCACAGCCTTTTGTGGCTGGACTAAGCTGTAACAGAAGATGGAGGGAAGTAAGGTGCCTGGAGGTGACAGAATTTCCACTTCTTTCTGTGGCTGTGGGCTAGATCTGCAGATAGACCAGCATATGCTGATCCACCTGGAGTGAGCTGAATGAATGTGTAAGAGTCCTCCTTCTATCAAAGTCAAAACATCACTGCTATAAGCATGATTTTTCAGTTTTCTCTGTACAACCTTTCCCCACCCTTTGAGATCAGGATATTCCTGTTGACCCTGTGTACATGGGAGCAAGCACATCCATCCCAAAGTGGAGCTTGATGCCAAAAGAGCTCATTGAGCTGTGCCTCCAGGAAACCTTCCCCTTACATGGGGTGGTGTGTGGAGCTGGTGCCAGCCAGTGGTGATGGCTCAGCTTCCAGCCCCCTGGTCCTGGGCTGTACCTCTGCCTGCCAGCCTGCCCTTCCTGAACTCCGCACCGGAACGGCTGGCATTTCCAGTTACCGAAGCCTCCACAGCAAACGTGTGATTTTCCATGCATCTTTCGCTAACCCCTGGTGTGTTTTCCTTGCAGCGTACATACCGAATGCCAAAGGATATCCACGTTGAACCAGAGAAGTTTGCTGCAGAACTGATCAATCGTTTGGAAGAAGTACAAAAGGAACGTGAAGCAGAGGAGAAGTTAGAGGAGCGCCTTAAACGCGTTCGAGCGGTTAGTAACCTCCTTGCCCCCTCTCACAGCCTGGGAGTCTGGCTGTGTACTGTACACCACAGGGTGTACAGTTCAGCTGCTGTAGAAGCAACTGGATTGACCACTTCCCTGCTCTAACAGCCATGGTCATCACTTGCACAGAGGCTCCTGGAGTCTCACGTTGCCCCAGGATCTTCCACAGTGCTGTTCCCCCATATCTTCAGGGCTCTGTGAGCTCCAGCACTCCGTCCCTGAGTTTAGATATCAACTATGGCACAGCACTACCCACTTCTGCCACCAGTTAGGGGTTGTGGATGGTCTCCATCATCCTTTAGGCACCCTTGCTCTCCTGACTTTGTGAGCAGTCCCTTCCATGTGAGGGTGGGTACTATGTAACAGGGGTTTGCCTTCACCTGTGGGGTTTTGTGTGATCCCTATTTTCCCCACAATTAGTAATCAGATGGCAGATGGTGTTATGCTTGGAGATATTTGTGTGTGCTATCAGGCTGTTTCTGCCCATCAGTGCCTAGCTGATGTGAGATGTTTGTGTCTACTATCAGGCAAGGATTCTCCCCATCAGTGCCTAGCACATCCCTAGAAAGTTTGGAACTGATCAGGTGTAGCATCCAAAAATCCTCTCCTGGGCACATGGGTGGCTGGGGAAACCCAACCCAGCACTACATGCTGTGAGCCCTGGTACCACTGGGGCCTTTCAGAGCTCGAAGACTTGGTGGATGAACCAAGGGAAGTGTGGAAGGTCTTTAGCATCACAACAAGGTCCAAAAGGGAGAGAGTGAGGTATTGGTTGTGTAGTACTACCTGTGTGAGACACTCTGTTCAGCACTACTCACACCATATCTTCTGAGATGATGCATGTCATTGGTACCTGTACATTTTGTGCTGGGGATACAGGAGAGTTTTCAGAGAACACCACAGTGTTACTGAACATTACCAGTGTCAGTATAGCTACAACCCTGTGTGAAATAATTGTGGGTCTCTGCAGTTAATAGCTGCCATGGCCCTGAGGCAAAGGCTCTGTGCTCAGTAACCCACAGCTCTGCCTTAAAGCAGAAGTGTTGGTGTCTGTTCTGGCTAGCTCTGTGCTTTCAGAGAGGCTGAGGCTCTAGGGCAGACCCTACAGCCCCATCAGAGTATTTTTAAATGTTCATCTAGCAGGTCTTTAAACAGGAAGGAGCTGTAGGTTTAAGTGTTCATGTTAAATCACATCTGCATTTCAAATGCAGGGAAGTTAGGAAGGCAGGAGGATTGGTAAGGTTCCTTCCAGCCCCAAGCATTGTCCAGCAGACTTCTGACACCTCTGCATCTAGCATCCAGCCAGAAAAAGCCAGTGAGATTAGGTTAGATTCCGGTTAGATTCCTGTCAGATTCCTGTACTTCTGGAATTTCTCCACCTGGTACCTATTGCTTTCTATATTAAGCCAATGTAACAGCAGCATTTTCTGCTGACACAATCCTAGAGCAGTCTTCCTCCTCCCATGGCTCAGTTGCAGCTGCCACCTGTACCAGACTACATTATCCCAGCCCTCTCCTTGAAGAAGCTGCCAGTAGCAATACCATAAAATCAGCAAATACCTCTATACCAGGGAATAAATTTAAGTCTGTTGAAACACATTTTTGTGTGACATAATCTATTTTTAAGCCCAGGACTCCCACTAACACTATATATTAAGCCTCCTTGCTGTCTCCAGAATGTATTTCATTGACTGGCTGGCATCTGGTATTAGCCATTCAGGAAAAACTCAGAGTAAGCAATTGTAGCTCTTTTAGGTCAGCACTTAAGGTGCAGGAGCTGCTGGTATCAGCAAGAGGAGAGCTTGGATTCTGATAGGTCACAGAGCTTTTCTCTGCAACCTGAGCACCAGGACTACAGGGCTTAACCGTGTCTTACTGCGTCTGCAGGGCTCACTGCACAGCAGCAGAGGGAAAACCACCAGCGTTACTCACAGTGGGCACTTACCAGCTTAGCAGAGAAGCTGGAAATATTTTGCAAGACCTAGGGAAAAATAACTTTTCTCCCCCATGCTGAGCTGCCTGCAGGTTCCCTTTCAAAGCCGCATCACAGCAACGTGGAGAAGAGGCATCTGATTTAAAACCAAATGCCTTTTGCTGAAAAAAAAGTAAGGTTTCTGTTTTCTTAAAAAAAAAAAAAACAACACCACCAAAATTCTGAATTTATTCATTATTTTGAGCAACGTGGGAGAGGATTAGAGGAGATGTGTGTTCCCTTATGACTATTTGAACCACTTCAGTCTCGTGTCCATGCATGGAAGCTGCAGTATCATATCGTACTGATCAGTATCCTATCATACAGATCATTCTGTCCTTGTCTGAACTGAGCAAATTGAAAATAACCCAGGGAAAGCAAAGCCACTGCTGAGATTCGCGCTGTTTGGGTATAAAATATGGCCTAACTAGAGAGGGAAATCATCTGCATGATGATCGAAAGCGCACTTGTGGTTAGGTGAGCTGTTTTGCCCTAACCACCAGCAACAGCCTGATGGGTGGGACTGGGAGAAGGCAGAGGAGGTTTGCAGGAAGATATTGCTTGCCCATAGCTCATCAGTGCAGGTCTCTCCCTCCTAATTCAAAGGGAAGGGCACCCCCAACCTTCCTGGAGAGTAAAAATAGCTCAGCAGACAGTCAGCAAAGTTGAAGCCTGCTCTCTGTGGCTGCCGCTGCCTTTGGGAGCTGAAGGAAGAGGTTTCTGACAATACTGTGTCAACAAAGCACCATCTAGTGGTTATGGCACCGGGGCCTCCCCACCTGCGAGAGGCTGTGCTGCTGCCAAGCTTTGACCAGCTCACTGCAGCAAGATGCTGAAGCACAGCTCTAGGGCCCAAGCCACCCCTGCGTCCAGGGAAGCTGAGCCCTTGGAGGGAGGCTTCCCAGACCCACAGTTCTTTTTGGTGTAAAACGCTGCAGATATTGCCTCTTGCCTTGCCTCTTGGTCTTGTCGTCTTGCAGTCCCTTTCTTCTGACTGTGCTTGCTGCACAGAGGGATGCAGGCTAAGTGGCAGTCATGTACAGCTGGGTGCAGGCAGGTCTGGGAGGAAGGGAAGGCTGCTACTGCATTGCCAGGCACAGACTGCGATCAGGTAACACCAGCTAGGAGCACCTTGCAGTGCACCGGTGTGTGTGGCTGAGCCAAAGCTTGACTCTGCTATGTTCAAAGTCCTGCATTACAATCCCCACCTGGGTTGCCCCGACCTCACTAGTTTTTTGGTGAAAAGATTCATCAGAACTGGCATCTGCAGCCTTGACTAGACCCTCTGCCCTGCACAGGGAGAGAGGGCAGCTTGGGATAGGCACCCCAATTCACAGAATCAGAGAATAGTTTGGGTTTGAAGGGACCTTGAAAGGTCATGTAGTCCACCCCACTGCAATGAGCAGGGACATCTTCACTACCTACTGTTTTCTCACTGTTGGGGCTTTCTTATCTGATGCAGGGCTGAGACCCATGCTAGGGGGTGGGAAGCCAGCTGCCCAGGCCTGCCTGTACACAGCCCACCTCAGCAGCACTTGTTCCTGCCTGAGGACATGCTTGGGATCCAGATCTCCTGCTCAGTGGCACAGATGAGCTGAGCCAAGGCAAACAGAGAGAGCCAATGCATCCCTCTCCTTCCCTTAATCCACCCTAACCTTATTCTTGGAGCAAAGCAAACTACCAGGTCCCAGTTACCGGCAAAATGGAGCTCCAGGGAGCCAGAGGATTTCCCAAATCCCAAGCACCCATTTGGCCGGATCATCCCAGGTTGTCACTCTCGTGCCACTCTGCTCCAGTGTGAGAGCAGAGCCCTGCTGGAGCTCTGGGCCCTGAGCAGAAAGGGCACACTGCTGTTCCTCAGGGATCAGCGCATGGCTCACGTCTTTCCCTGCACGTTAGCTGATGTTTAAACCTTAGTGTTTTCCACAGAGCATCAGCCCTAAAAGCCTATCAAGCGCTGAGCCTATCAGATTACCACAAACTGCTCATAAACGCTTACCCCGGTGGCAGGGATTTAGACAGCACATGCTTCATCTTTTCTTGTCCCTGAGCTAGGTTCCCAGGGACAGCAGTTGGCAGCTGCAGCAATGTGGCTGTAGATGGAAGGTGCCTCTGAAGTTCTTCAAAGCAATCTGTTAGAAAGTGGTGTGTCCCCTCCAGATGTGGGCATCATGTCACACCCCCAGGCTTGCGGTGCCCATGCCTTTGGCATTTTCAAAGCCTGACATTGCCTTGTCCCCAGGTGTGACAACTGGGAGGAAGTCTGTTATGTGCTTTCTGTGTGGTTGGCAGCTGAAACTTTGAAGCTGGTTAGCAAGTGATGGATGATGACATCTGACAGGCAGAGCTGATGGGAGTCAGTGTTTTCTAGCAGATGCATTTATCTGGCAGGACAGAGATATCCTGTGCTGCAAGTGTTTTCTTTACATGCCAAAGGAGGAAAAGAGAGCAGGATTAAAGGACTCGCTGGAATCCTGCTTATGTAATTAAAAAAAATAGGAATCCTGACTTCCAATAAAGAAACTTCATAAATACCTGAGTTTATGTTGGAGTATGAAGTAGTTTGTCAGCATCAAAACTGTGGCTGTCAGCATGGAGGAGTTTTGTTCTTCCTGGCAAGGACTGAAGTTGCTAACACTGTGTCCTAGACCATTGTGAACTGCAAGAACAAGCAGTTAGTTCCAGCCTGTTTCTTTATCTGCATGAAGTATTTCACTCCAGCCTGTAGCAGGCCTGGGAGAAATCCATGTTTGATTTTCAAAACCATTCATGTTGCTGTCGCCCTTCAGTTGTTCCCTTCCATTACAAGCCCACTGTTGGCTTTACCATGTGAAATAGCCATTTGGGTGAGAAACTCCCCTCTTCCTGGCTCCCGAGCTGTTTTGCCACATATCCTGCCGCTTTGGGCTTTATCTAATAGGATTTGAGGCAGTGCATTACAAAGGCTCATAGGAAGCACAGGTACAGTGCAGTAAGTTGTGTTTCTGCTGGCGGTGGTTGTTAGAGAACCACCTTCGAGGGACATAGGAGCTTTTCAGTAAGCTCTGCCCAGTCATACATCTGATTGAGTCGTTAGGCTTGTCAGAAAGCTGCATCTGTAAACCATGGTTGTGGTGTGGGGGCTGCCTGTCAGAAGTTGCCTCAGTCTCTTTGGGTAATGCATGGAGGCCCTTACTAATGGTGGCTCAAAAAGCAGGTACATAGACATGAGCAGCTCTCCTTGGTGGCAGCAAGACTGCACAGGCTTGGACTGAGCATCAGGAAATTCCTTGCAGGAGGGTGGCACACTCTGGGACAGGTTTCTGGAGGGCTGGTGGATCTCTGTCTTGAAGGTTTTCAGGATCTGGTTGGTCTAAGCCAGGACTGACTCAAAGGTTGGCAGCAGTCCCGCTGCGAGTGGGAAGTGGGACTGGGGACCCTTTCAACACTCTGCTGTCATTCTCTGATTGTTCTCATGTTTCTTGCAGGAAGAAGAAGGTGAGGATGCAGATATCTCTTCTGGTCCCTCAGTCATTAGCCACAAGATGCCTTCCGCCCAAGCCTTTCATCACTTTGCTCCTCGTTACTCTGAGATGGGCTGCGCTGGGATGCAGATGAGAGATGCTCATGAAGAAAACCCAGAAAGCATCCTTGATGAACACGTACAGCGTGTGATGAAAACACCAGGCTGCCAGTCTCCAGGACCTGGACGCCACTCTCCTAAGCCACGGTCCCCAGAAAGCGGCCACTTAGGAAAACTGTCAGGGACACTCGGAACAATTCCTCCAGGGCATGGCAAGCACGCAACAAAATCAGGAATGAAACTGGATGCATCTAACTTATACCACCATAAACACGTCTACCACCATATCCATCACCACAGCATGATGAAACCAAAAGAGCAGATCGAGGCTGAGGCCACGCAGCGAGTGCAGAACAGCTTTGCTTGGAATGTAGATTCACATAACTATGCAACAAAGACACAAAACTACACTGAAAACTTGGGCATGGCCCCTGTCCCCATGGACTCTTTAGGCTACAGGTGAGTCAAGCAACACCTAACAGGAATCCCAGATCTGTGGCTTCGTTAGGAAGCTCTTTCATAAACAGCTGTAGCATGTTAGTGAAACAGTGTCTGAACCACATGTTGTTGTGAAAGCCTGTGCTGGGACATAGTTTGACTGCCTCCCACTGCTCTTCCCTTCAGAAATGGATGTGCCCCTGGTAATCCTTATAGACCCCAGTAATCCTTATAGACCCCTTTTAATCTTTCTGATCTGGTGCCAAAAGACACCTCTTCCTGGGATTTTTAACGGTCTTGGTTGTAAAGTAAGTTTTCTGCTCCTTAAAGCAGTGGAGGTGCTTAGAAATTACAGATGCTGGTCTACTTCCCCATGCATCAGGAGTTTCTAAGTACAGGGCTGTGTCTCAGGGTCTGGGTAAGAGGCTGATCTCATAAGGTGTTATGAGAGGACAAAAAAGCCCTCCTTATTGCAGGTCCTAAACCATTCACCAGAAGGGCTCCTTTCTCTTCCTAGCAAAGCGATGGATGCTGTGGTACTGCTGTGGCATCCTGTCCCAAGGGGATGCTCTCTGGGTTAGGGGACCCTCTACCCAGAAAAGATGTCTTGCTGCCTGTGGGCTTTTGTTCACTTTCCCTTGGCCCCTTGAATTTCTCCATCCCCTCTGTGCTGAGGTGAAAGGGCAAAACTCCTCTGCTATGGCGGGTCCTGCTAGGCCTGTTACTCGATGACTGCAAAGATGAGAGTGGGCTGCCCAGGGTAAGGGATGGTGATGGATCAGCCGCAGTGGAGAGCTGTGTCGGTTCCCTAAGGCCATGAGTTTGGAGTGTTGCTTTGCACTGTACCAGGGGTGGGATAGTTAGTGAAGGCGGGTGGTTGGGTTTGCGGTGGGCAGGACCAGCTTTCCAGGCAGAGTGCAGAGGCAGCCCAAGCTCCAGGGAGAGAGAAGCATTTAAATCTGCACTGTTTCTATGGGGGAAAGGTTATTTCAACAGAGCATGAGCATGGCCATGCTGGGTCAACCCAAAGCCCCATCCTAGACACAGAGCTTGTCTCTAGCATGTATTTAAGGGAGTTATAAGAGGGCATGTTCAGAGCTGTTCTTCCTCTGGCACAAACTCCTAGTTCATGACAGTCCCCGGGTTAGGAACTTCACAAGACAAAATGTTGCAGCAAAGTTTGGTCTCGCTTGGCAGCCAGCAGTCTCTTGCAGTGGCTCATTTGGCTCCTTGTTAACCTTGGCTCCTGGTTGACCCCAGCCGAGCTGCTGTCCCTTCAGTCCCTGGCTGCTGTGTCTGTGATTGATTACAACCTGCAGAAAAAGGGGATTTTTTGTTTGCACTGAACCTGCTGCTGGAGGATTTCATTTGATACCCACTAGTCCTCGAGCAGGGAGAAGAGAGCAGTTGTCAGTTCATCCTGCCTTTGTAGATCTTCAGCACCCCCTCCCCAGGGTTTTCCCAAGAAAATCACCAAAGCTGTCTGAAGGCCTGTGACTCCTCTGTGGTGTTAAGATTATTTCTCCTATGTGTGTTAGTGAGCATGCAGAAACAGAGGTAGGGAAGTCCTATGGAGTACAGCAAGTGGATGATTATGATAGTGGGGGTCCCACAAAATTACAGGCTGTGACAAGGACTGGCCAGCATGCATGAGTTCCATGTGGCCTTGTGAGCATGGGGCAGCTTAGCTGGGCACATGGGATTTCTGTAGGAGCCTCTGTATAGTAGTGTTGGCCACTACCTGACATCCATCTGGCTACAGTGTTTGAAGTGGCTGTGCTTCCCAGTGCATGAGAGGGCACGGAAGGCAGCCCACCCTGCTAGGATGTGATCTTCCACCATGATGAGAAGCCTTGATTCAACTTGGGGTGAGAAGCAAATGCAGGGCATGGCAGGTCAGCAGTTTGGGGTATCAGTGAACCTGTGGGGTGATGGGAAAGGTCCAGGTTTGAAGCAGTGGTTTGGCATGGAGAAGCAGCAACAGATTGCAGCACCAGAATGAACTTCCTGCTCTGAGCAAAGAGCCGGAGGTGTAACACAGCCCTTCTTGTGGCAGGAGATCTTGCCATGTGGCCATAGCTCATTTGGCCTAAGGAGAAGGCCTTGCAGGTGGCTGGACAGAGAAGTCTGCTGTGCTTAGGTCTAGCCAGTCTTGCTCTTGGGCTCACGGTTGGTTTTTGAGCTATGGTAACGCCAGGGGGCTCTGGAAGGCAGCCAGGGGCACATCTGCACTGCAGGAGCACCAGACTGGCAGCCTGAATGTGTCTGGAGATAGACATGTCCATCCTCTGCCATGGTCTGCAGTGGTTTGGCTTAGGCAAAGCGCTAATGTCTCAAGCTTTGTTCTTGCAGTGGGAAAGCAAGTCTGCTCTCAAAAAGAAATGTTAAGAAGACCGATTCAGGGAAAAGTGATGGTGCCAACTATGAGATGCCAGGATCTCCTGAAGACGTGGAGAGAAACCAGAAGATCCTTCAGTGGATCATAGAAGGAGAGAAGGAGATCAGCAGGCATAAGAAAACAAACCATGGGTAAGGGCGGGCAGAGCGAGGGGTCTTCATGCTATGGTATTGCATCCCCTGCACAAAGCATGGGTGTCTAGTCTGACCAACACTCTGCCGTGTTCCTGGAGATCTCAGGAAGACAAGAACCCACCAGGCACAGGGGTTTAGACCCTTTGGAGACTGAGGATTGCTTAGGGGCTATTAGGTCTGTTTTTTTCTGAAGGATAACTTGAGGCCATGGCGGAAGATTGCAGCCCCAGGGAATCTCATGAATTATCTCTGTGGTTCCAGGGTGGATAACGTAGCATGCAGGATTTTCACCTGTTTGTAAATACCTGTTACTCCTGCAGGGTGCTGATAGAAATGTAGGTACCTGATGCACTTTAGCCATTGGTCCTGAGTAAGCAGTTTAGCACAGTTCAGGGTTGCCCAGCATTTTGGCTTGCTGGGAGCATCCTCTGGGATAGCCTCACTTGCCTAGAGTGGAGCCAAGGATGTGGCTGTCTCGGGAATCTCTCTGTCGTCAAACATAACTCCGATGGGCACTGATCCTTAATCACAGTCTGGTCAGTCTGGCAAAACACAGCACTTGCTGGGTGTTGACAAGAGGGATCCGGGGTCTTGTCCTTTCTGGAACCACTGCGCTGGTGGCTGAGTGGTCAAACTGCTGGTGGTTTCTTCTCTTGCTTGATGATAGAGGTCAGGATGAGCTGCACTGCAGGCAGCTGGGGCTGAGTGCCAGGGCTGTAGGCAGTGCCAGGCCACTGTGAAGTAAGGCAACAGGTTCTGCTGCTGGAGGTGGGGAAGGACAAGCACATCTCTGCAACATCCCCTTCCCTGGATGCTGACCAGCAGGTCATGGAGAGGCTCCCAGCCTGGCAACATTGGCAGCACGTAGAAGGCCATCTTCTGGGGGAATGTCACAAATGGTGGAGCTGCCTTTTGCTGGTTTTATTTTTATGTACTGTGGTCTTGATGAGAGCCCTTAAACAGATCTGTGGACTCTGTGTCAGGGTTGGCTTGCTCACCCTGATGTCTCAGGACTTGCTCTCCTGAAATCTTCTCTAGAGGTGGATGGTGCTCCCCTTTCCTTCAGAAGCCATGCTGTAAGGAACTTCCCAGGGGTGCCTATGTCCAGATGCAAAAGCTTTAGGTCTGTTTAGGAGTGACTGTGTACCTGTGCAAAGCATCTTGTTGATTCGTGTAAAACCTTTGTGTTTGTGTGCAGCTCTTCTGGTGCTAAGAAGCAGCTGTCCCATGATATGGTCCGATCCCTCTCCATCGAGCGACCTGTTGCGGTACATCCATGGGTCAGTGCCCAGCTCCGAAACGTCGTCCAGCCTTCTCACCCCTTCATCCAAGATCCCACCATGCCACCCAATCCAGCCCCCAACCCTCTCACCCAGCTGGAAGAAGCTCGCAGGAGGTTGGAGGAGGAAGAGAAAAGGGCTGGAAAACTCCCCCTTAAACAAAGGTAGGGTCTGATTGTGCATGGTAGGGAAGGGGGAGACTGCTCTGAAGGTGGCAGCTGAAGAAGTCCACATCCTCTGCTGTGGTCTCCAGCTCCCAGCACCATCTGGGTCAGAGAAATCTGTACCAGTCGCTCTGACATCGTGGTGCAAATGCCAAAACCCACCTTGAGGGCCTGGGTTTGTGGTTTGTGGATGGAGAGACTGGAAATGCCCCTGGCAGAGTGGGGAAAGGGCTGCTGAGAGCTTGAGGAGCTGGGCAGGGGGAGTGTGTCTAGAAGGGGCATGGCATGGGAGATCTCCCTCGCCAGTGTTTGCTGACTCTCCACTCATTCACACTCAGGTGACGGTTTCAAAGGTTGGTGCAGGAGCAGGATTTAGCAGAATGCAGCAGATTTAAGTGCGGAAGAGGAATATTTATTTGCTCTTTATTTGCATCTCCCGCAGACTTCCAGCAAAAGCTGCTCATGGCACCTGGATGAGAGCAGTGCACTGTAGTCCTGCTGCTGCAGCACTGACTCACTGCATGGCTGTACCCAAGTCACTGCACCTTTTTGTGACTCAGCTTAATGCCTGTTGCAGAGCTAATTCTCCTGCTCCTGTGTTTATCTTTCAGGGGATGTTAATTGCAAGGCACACAGCTCTCAGATGAAAAGCATTTGGGAAGTGCTAGATAATTACTGTTAACAGCTAAAAGCACTTTGTCCATTAAAAACCTTTCACAGCTTTATAGCTGTCTTCTGAAAACCTGAAACTGCAGTCTGGCTCTTAGAAACACAAGTGTAATTTAAAAAAAGCTCTTCTAATTGCTGAGCTCAAGTTATTTTTGCTTGCAGTGACCATGTAGCAGACTTGTGCATATTGATGTCACAGCATTGATTGAAAGCCAGGTAAAATTAGAGGGCTCTCCCAGGTCAGGTTAAGCCAAGTTTATTTGATCTACCTTTCAGTTGGTTTAATTGGCTCAGGGTTGTTTATAGTTGTACTAAATCCATGCACCTTCCCCAGAAGTATCTAGATGCAGGTACACACTTTGGAAACAATAACCTGGGTTATATGCATATGCAGTTAATACTCTCATAGTAGTTTGGCATGTGTGGTAAGCGTAGCTTTTGTAGGAACCCCACAGCATTGTGGTAAAGGCCATGCAGACCAGTGGGAGAACAGGCTGAGCAGTTCCAGTGCTGGGCTGCTCTGCTTACACTGCCTCTCCATGAGGTCTGGCTCTTCTCCTGATGGTGCAGGGATCCCCCTGACCTGCTCTGTGTGTGGAAAACCAAGGAGCCATGTTTGCCAGCAGGGAATTGTTCATGAAAGGCAGATGTGTCCGTGCCCAGTAGTAAGCAAGAATGGATGCAGTGGTAACCAGGGAGCCAAAGATTTGTGGATGTTGAAATCTCTCTGCTGGATTTTGGCAGGATTGGGTGCTCCAGCTGAAGCAAGCTTGAGCTAGCAGCTTTTTAGAAGGCTGCTGCCATGGTTAACACAGGAGTCTGCCTGAAAATAGACCCTGTCGTTCTTCTGAGAGCAAAGGAGAAACGGAGAGGAGAGCTCATGTTAGAACAGTTTATTTCAGTCAGGAGCTTTGAAGAGCTCTGGGAAATTGGAACCAGTGTCCCAGGTTTGCCAGCAGCCTTGGGGAAGCACAGTGCCAGTGGCAGGAGAGGTGGAGGTGTGCCCAGAGGTGTCCTTGAGGCACCAGCTTGAGCTGGCTGTGGGAAGGGAGTGCACCATGCAAGCTTGGTGTGGCCAGGCTGAGCTCTCCAGCAGTTACCCATGTGTCCTCTGGCAGAGCCCTCACCAGCAGTGGCCCTCCCCAGCTCACTGCCCTGGCTGGGGTGCCAGCAATCTCGCACTGCCCCGCTAGAGATGAAGGAGGCACCTCTAGTGCTTGTACTGGGAATCATAGATATTCTTCCATAAATCACACTTCTTTTGCAGAAAAAGCCTTTCTCTCCCTGTTCCATAGCAAATGGGGAGAATATTGGAGTGAAGCAGGTGCCTCACCTCTGTGTGGCAGCAAGGTTGGACTGGTGCTGTAACACAGACTTAGTTTCCCTGTCATGGCACGGCTGGGTTATGCGGCTGAGAAACCAGGACTGAAATGCAGATGCAGTGAGTCAGATGAGTGCTGCTGGTTCCTTAATGGGTAATATTTTTTGCATGTGACAAATGCAGCAAAGGGAGGTGATCCCAGAAGGGGCAGGGGGTGATCCCTGGCTATGTTTCTGGGTCACACTGCCACCCTGGAAATAGGTGCAGGTGGAAGTGTTAATGGGTCAGGGCTCAGAGACAGTCTGGTGGCCTCTTTGGGTAAGCCATGGTCTCAGGAGATGTCTTAGCGATGAGGGAAGCGGAGACAGTTGTGTTGTCTCATCCTCCTGAGAGGAGCTCTTGGAAAATTCCATTTTCAGTGATTCTGTATTCCTCAGCCCTGCTTCAGCCTGCTAGGGGTTACAGCACTGCTGGATAGGAGCAATTGATGTCACCTACATCAATTTGTGCAAAGCATTTGACACTGTCCCACACAACATCCTTGTTTCCTAACTGCAGAAACATGGATTTGATGGATGAACCACTTGGTAGATAAGGAATTCACTGGATGGTCACACTCAAAGAGTCGTGGTCAGTGACTCGATTTCTAAGTATAGACACAGCTAGTGACGAGCGGCATTCCTCAGGCTCAGTACTGGGACCAGTGCTGTTTAACATCTTTGTCAGCGACATGGGCAGTGGGATTGAGCTCCACCTCAGCAAGTTTGGCAATGATACCGACCTGTGTGGTGCCATCTGCATGCTGGAGGGAAGGGATGGGATCCAGAGGGACCTTGAAGCTTGAGAGGTGGGACCATGCAAACCTCATGAAGTTGAACAGAGCCACGTGCAAGGTCTTGCACTTGGCTCTGGGCAATCCCAAGCACAAACACAGGCTGGACTGAGAGCAGCCCTGAGGAGGAGCTGGGGTTGTTGCTCGACAAGAAACTCAACATGACCCAGCGGTGTGCACTTGCAGCTCAGAAAGCCAACCAGAGGAGGCCACAAAGATGCTGCAAGGGCTGGGGCACCTTTGCTCTGGAGACAGGCTGAGAGAGCTGGGCTTCTTCAGCCTAGAGAAAAGAAGGCTTTGTGGAGACCTTAGAGCAGCTCCCAGTGCCTAAAAGAGCTGACAAGAAAGCTAGAGAGGGGCTTTTGACAAGGGCCCCTAGTGACAGGACAAGGGGGAATGGCTTTAAACTGAAAGAGGAGAGATTTAGATTAGGTATAAGGAAGAATTCTTTCTTGTGTGGGTGGTGAGGCACTGGCACAGGGTGCCCAGAGAAGCTGTGGTTGCCCCATCCCTGGCAGTGTTCAAGGCCAGGCTGGATGGGGCTTGGAGCAGCCTGCTCTAGTGCAAGGTGTCCCCGCACGTGGCAGGAGGCTGGAAATGGATGATCTGCAAGGCTGCTTCCAACCCAGACTGTGATTTGTGGCATAGTAAGGACATCCAAAAGCCATGGGGGTTGTTTTACCTCTAGCTCTGTGAAGCAGTGCAGAGTTTCTGCCCTGGAGCATCATTTCAGGAATCATTCTGGGGCACATCTCTGCTCTGGAAATGGGTGAGCACTGGAGCTGGGCTGAGCATGTTCAGAAAGAGCCTTTCAGGGCTCAGTTACATGGCAGGAGGAGGAAGAAAGAGGCTTCCAGCCACTGGCACCATCCCACTCTTGCTGCTTCTGTGCAGAGCTCAAGGGTGTCTTCTCCACTTCTCCAGGCAAAGGAGAATGGCAGCCCTGGAACCGGCTTTGCTGCCTGCACAGGGTGTGAAGCTGTGTCCCCACGTCCCCAGGCACACAGCAGCTCTCTCTTAGTCATGACTTGTTTCTAGCCAGGATTAAGGCAAGCTTAGGGACTTTGAGGTTTTCCAAACCCCTTCAATTAACTTCTGGCTCACAGGGTTCACAGAATTTGCCTGAATTTATGACCCATTTTTCTTTTAAATGGCTCATTTTATTTTATTTTTTTTTCCCAAGGATGACTCAATTCCTCAATGTTTTTCTAGCTAAAGGGCATCCTGTGCTTTAATATGGGGATGGGAGAGGCTCTGAGGGCAGTGCTGGCACCAGGAGTGGACCCTTGCCTCTCAGGATGCTGCGTCTTCTCCCAAGGTCCCCCAGGCAGAGCAGACAGCAGGAGGGTTGTTCAGTTGAGCATTAGACCTCTCATGACTATAGAAAGAGGTGTAAAGATTTTGCTTAGTCTTGGTTTGCAATGCCAGTGTTTATGTGGGCATACCATTAAATAGGTGCTCTGCCCGTGAGCCAGTGTTTAAAGGTTAAGGTCAGAGGCATTTCCAAAGCTGCAATTACCTCATGTGCTTGGCAGATTCTGGTTTTGACAGCAACTTTCCAGCCATGTAAATATAAAATCATCCTTTTTATCCAGCGTGCTTTTAAAACCATTTCTTCAAGCTGCCAAATTTGTTTTATGTGACGTCGAAAGGGAAGGCTGCACCTGGCTGCGACCACACATGCCAACTTACCAGTTTGTGTAGGCTGCTCCAGTGTTTGTGCAGCATTTACAGCACCCCAGATGAAAAGCTCTACAAGATGACAGAGTACCCTGGTTTTTATTACAGCTACTTTCGTCTGCCGCTGAAAATGGGGTTAGGACTGGGCTGATGCTTGCGGTCCAGTGATGGCACCGTGTGGCAAAACCCCAGTGTGGGGGCTGAAAGCAGAGAGCAGACCAATATTCTGAGGGTCAGGAGAGCACAGCAGGTTGAAAGTCGTTGAGGTTTTAGGGATGGCAGCAGCCTTGCTACACTGTGCAAATGGGATGGGCAGCAAAGCCTCCATCCAGGGCATGCCCCTCTGGGACCTCTGTCCCCTCCAACCTCCATCTCCCATGGGAGAGGTGCCATGGGGAGCAGGAGCAGTGCTGTCTGCACAGCCCTGTGGATATAGGTCAGCAGAAAGCCATGCTGAGCTATTTTGGCCATGGCAGCAGTAATCCCAAGCAGCCTGAGCAGTGTTTGCATTATCATCCCCAAGCACGCTTCCAGCCTTGCCTGCTCAGTGCACACCAGGAGCATGCTGATGGTGACTTGGGTCTGTTGCCATGGGCCTGGGATGCTTTGTCTTGTGTGGAGCTTACTGATGACTCCCCAGAGCAGCAGTGCTTTGGAAAGCACAACGAAAAGCATGTACATGGGTTTGTTCAGTGTGAAGGGGCCGAGCTAGAACCTCGGTGAGCTGCACCCACCTTGTAACTGCGGTCTGGCCCTATCCAGCCTTTCCAACAAGTGCCTTTTCCTTCTTCAGCAGCCTCAGTGTGCATATGTGTGCTAAGAGAGCTGGTGGTGGGAGCAAAGGATGTATTGTGTTTCCTCCAGCCAAATCTGTCACCTCCAGTGGGACCTGACCTGCACTGCTCTCCTGGGCAGCCCTGTACCCAGCTGGGCACCCACATCAGTGGTGCTGAGCACTGTGTGCTCATACTCAGCAGGTCTCTTGTGTTCGTGCACCCCAGGTTGAAGCCCCAGAAGAGACCAGGCAGTGGTGCGTCCCAGCCCTGCGAGAACATCGTGGTCGCCTACTACTTCTGTGGGGAGCCCATCCCCTACCGCACCTTCGTCAAGGGGCGCGTGGTGACGCTGGGACAGTTCAAGGAGCTGCTGACCAAGAAAGGGAACTACAGGTAAGGCTGCTCCCCATGTGTGCTGGGGTGCTGCAGACCATCGGTGACCCCTGGCAGATGCCGTGTTGCCCCACCAAAGTGAAGCAGCATGGCAGGGGAGGGCTCCCGCAGGTCATGCTATGGTGGGGATGTGGCAGCATGGCCAAGGCACCTTGGCTTTTTTAAAAGGCAGCTTACAGGGACAAGGGAGATGGGGTTTTTTTGCAAAAGCATCTTGTATCACAGTTTGCACCTTCAGCAGAAGCTGCTGAGCTGCCCTGTGGGGTCCTGGGCTGGTGAGGAGCAGCATCAGCCAGTGCTCAGTGATGCTGTGGGGAACACTGACTCCCAGAGCTGGTTTGGCTGCTCCAAAGATCCTTCCAGTGAGAATAGGGAGGTTGGGTCCTGTGAGAATCACAAAGCAGCCAGGCATGGGGCAAGTAGCTCTCAGAGTTCTCCCTTCCATAGGAGCTGCCATGGAAAATCATGCCTAGCAACCCTTCACCAGCACAGGTGCCTCATCCATTGCTTTGGAGAGGGCTTGGATTCACGGCTGGAGCTCTGGAATGTGCTAGCATGGATTCTGACCATGCTTTCTTAGCTCACTCTGCAGGGGCAGAAGTGTGGTCCAGGTTGCCTCCACATCTGGGGGCGCTGCTCCCCGTTACCACATGGCTTTTAACTCTCTCCCCCGTGTTTCTGTTTTTCAGGTATTACTTTAAGAAGGTGAGTGACGAGTTTGACTGTGGTGTGGTCTTCGAGGAGGTGCGGGAGGATGACACCATCCTGCCCATCTTTGAAGAGAAGATCATCGGGAAGGTGGAAAAGATCGACTAGGCTCCAGGGCTGCTGAGGCACGAGGACAGGACTGTGAAGGACTCTGGGACCGGAGGAGAAGGCCTGGGGCAGATGCTGGTGGTGCCATTGCCATGGGCACCGGGCGGAGAGCGGCAGCCAGCACCAGCATGGACCTGCCCGAGCTCCGGGTTGCTGGTGGACACCGTTTCACCCCTCAAACCTGCCAGTGGGAGCCTGGGCTCCCTCTCCATACCGAATATAAGTGTAATGTAGCATTGTACAGTGCATTAGAAAGTGTAATATGACCTTGTTTACTAAAGCTGCATATTTTTGATATATTGTAATAAAAGGAAAATACTTCCAATGTCACAGTGCTCTTATGTAAATGTAAAGCGTACAGGTACTGCAGAGCTCACCCAAAGTGGACAGCCACCCATCACACTCCGTCTGCTCCTCGCTTTCACAGCACCCTGCCCTGGCCCCCCAGGTGGATGGCACAGCCCTGCTCCAGAGGGGCTGTGATCCCAGCTCACCTCGGAACATCACTGAGCCACTTGGACCGAGTCGGTCTCTGCCCTCTCTGGCAGTCTCAGCTGCTGCACAGGGTAGGATGGGTTTTTATCTCGTGAGCTTTCTTGCAACTGAGTAAGTCCTGAGGGATAGAAGGGTCGGTGCCAGCTCTCGGGGCTGGGAGGACCAGCTCGGAGCTGGGTTGGCAGCATGGGTGCTGGCATCCCACAGCCCATGCGCTCAGCCCCCCAACAGTGTGCCCCTGGAGAGGGGTTCACTGTAGCCCCTGATGCTGAGCTCCAGCTCTGGACAGGGGACTCTTCTCAGGCGAAACACAGGGGATGGAACCGATTAGACACTAAAGTTGAGGACAAAAAATGTCTGTTTTTAGAGTCCTGCATCTTGTTGGCTTCTGTGTCTCAGGAGGCAGCATGAGAGCACTGCAGCCTGCTGTGAGAGCAGAAGGGTGATTGATGCCAGTCTGTGGGGCTCCTGCAGAGCCAGTGCACCCAGTGGGGCACCCAGCAGTACCCTGGAAGTCCCCTGGGCTTACTCAGATGCAAGAAAGCTGAGGGCTGCCCTGGTGTTCCCACCACCCTGCCCTGCTCCAGCACAGCCACAGCTCTGTGCCAGCTCCTTTGAGACCAGCCCTTTTGAAACCAGGGCAGCTCCCAAAGCCATGGGGCTTCCACATTGACACTTGCCCTGCCCAGCACTGCTCCTGGCATTGGGGCTGCTGGGGACCCTGTAGCACGACGCCAGGATGCAACTCAGCCCATTGTATATGTCACCGAGTGCCTTTAAAACATGGTTCTGTGACTTGCCTATACTCTACATGAAGTCCAGCAAAACCCACAATCGTTTTCAGCCCAGGAACAGCATTACGAGGGGTTTCCCTCCCTGGTTTTTTGAGTTGATGGTTGTGTCTGGTGAGGTTGTGAATGTGCCCAGGATTTCCGTCTCCCCCTTTTTTCTCAGGGGGTCCCCTGTAAATATGTACAGTGGCTGCGCAGCCCCCTTCTCCTCTACATTCTCATGTGCTGACTTGTACAATGATCTTTTCAAAGGTACTTGGATAAATGAATAAAACCCCATGTCCCACCGCCTGCTGCTTTCTTCCTTCCCTGTGGAACAGACCCCGCGGCCCCCTCAGCCAGCGGATGGAGCAGGATGGCGAAGGGCCTGGGCACGTGGTGGGGCTGGGGCAGTGCTGGGCTCCATGGAGGGATGGCAGAGCAGGTACCGGCCCCAGGAAACCAACGTGTTTCCAACGGGGGAGCAGCTCGGGGTCAGGGAGCAGCCACAAGCCCAGGGGAGAGGGGATGGTGATGGGCCCTGAGGGGATGCTGGGGGGTCCCAGAGGTTGTGAGCCAGGCTGAAGAGGAGCATGTGGAGCCGTGTGTTGGGGTGGTGCATGACAGTGGAGCCCAGCCTGGGCTGTGGGAGCTGCCTGTGAGCTATGAAACAGGGGCTCCACCTGCACCCGGGCAGCCCAGCATGAGGGAGCCCTGTCACAGCTGTTTCCTGCAGCCCTGCACACCCTGGGCCATCATAGGGCTGCCAGGACAAGTGCTGCAGCACAGACGGGGCTGTGCCGGGCCAGCACCCTGGGGAGGCAGAGGGCCCCTTGCTGCACCCTCCTCTGCCCATCGTCATCCCTGCCCAAGTGCTGGTGCTCCCCAAGACTTGCTCCCACGGTGCTGTGGAGCTGCAGACACAGACCAGAGCCCACACGGTTTCCAGGTCGTTTATAGCACGCACTGGAGTGGGACAGGGCTCACAGCTCATCCCGGGATGCGCTCTGCTCCTTGCTGCCTGTGCCGTTCTCAGGGGTCTTGGGCACCTGGAGAAGGCAGCAGTGAGCCATGGACAGACGCAGCTCCTGCCTGTCCCCATCGCCATCCCACGGGATCTGTCCCCCACCCAACAGAGGCTGGAGGCACCCCAGGGGCGTGGGAAGACCCCCTCCTCACCACAGGTGGCTCCTCGGGCAGCATCCCCCCGTTTTCCAGGAACTTGGAGAAGGTCTCCACATCGCGGGAGCCCTTGAATTCAACCACCTGCAGCCGCGGGGTGGAAAGATGGATGATGCTGAGTGACCCCATTGCCCGGGTTCTGGCACTGCACCCTCTGGTGCTCTCACCCACCTTCCTGCCCGGCCCCGCGGGGTAGTAGTGGAGGGTGGGGAAGCCGGTGATGGTGACGTTCTCCATCTCGTTGGCCGTGGCATCCAACTCAGCGATGACGATGTCCTCGTGGTCCTTGTAGCGCTCCCCCAGCTCCTCCCAGGCGGCCGCCATCGCCTGGCAGTGGGAGCACCACGGCGCGTCTGTGGGGCAGGCGCAGTGCTGGGGACCAGGCAGGGACACGGCTCTGCGGGGTCAGGCTGAGGGGGCTGAGGTGGGGCTGGGGCTGAGCCCAGGGGCTCGGGGGGGGTCCCGGCACTTACAGAACTTGACAAAGACGTTCTTGGTCTCATCAAACGCCACCTGCTCGAAGGTCTGACCCACCAGCACCTTCACAGCCCGAGTGTCCCAGTCCTCGGGGGGCTCCGCGCTCAGCAGGTGGGGCTGTGGGGACAGTCGGCACAGCCACAGCCAGGGCTGAGCGGCAGCCAGGGTGCTCCTGTGCATTGGACCGCTGCTTCCCCTCTGCCACCGTCCCAGCTCTGTGCCTCCACATCAATGATCCCCTGCCTCCTTCCCCATAACAACCCCCCCAGATCCTCAGGCCTGGCAACACAAGCTGTGCTCACCACACAGCTGCCACCATCAGGCTTTGGAGCAACCAGCACCCCTGATGCTGGCTGGTGCCGCGCCGCACCCCTCACCTTCACTTTGCCGTCCAGCACAGCCTGGATGAAGGTGCTTATGGCCGTGTCCGAGAAGGAATCCTGCTCCATGCGGTACTTGCGGTTGTTCTTCATCTTGACTAGGCGCAGGGTGGGGGCATCAGCGGGGGTCATGCCAAAGAAGGTGAGGACGTTGGCACCATCCCCGGCCACGTCCACCACCACAAACAGCACCTGGGAGATGGGTGGGTGACATGAGGCTGGCGTCACCCGCGGCTGTGGGTCCCCACCGTGGGACCTGCTCACCTTGCCCCGGAAGGCACCAGCAGCCGCCTGGAAGCCCTCCCGCAGTGCCAGCTGTGCCGGCGATGACTTGTTGAGGAAGAGCAGCATGTGGTGCGGGATCTTGGCACTGAAGATCTGGTCGGAGGTCTATGGAGTACGAGCAGGTGAGGGCAGGGCCCTGGCTCCAGCAGGGATGGGTGCAGGGACGGGCTGTACCTCTCTGCTGAACTCCATCACCAGCTGCAGGCTGTGGGCGCGGAGCAGCTGGGTGAGCTCAGCCGCATCCAGCCCCTGTGCGGGGTCCACGGGGAAGTCTGTCCGTCCCTCGTCGAACTGACGGGGCAGAGCGCGGTGAGGGCTGCGGTGGGCAGGATGTGCCCACAGCCCCCGCACTCCCTCCTCACCTTCTTGAAGAGGCAGACGGTGTCGGCTGACAGCCCATACGCCTGGAAGAGCTCAGCTGCCTCAGCCACACCGAATGGCACATCCACCATCTCCATGGCCACCTCGTAGAACACCTGGGCCGCCGAGCCCCCCAGGTCCTGCGCAGCCACCCATGAGCAGCCATGGCCGTGGGCACAGCCCCGGCCCAGCCCTCACCCGACCCAGCCCACCTTGAAGAAGCCGACGACCACCAGGTCCTGGGAGCTGATGAAGGTGCTGGCGGTGTCGGTGTCCTGCAGCAGCGTGGCACTGGGGCCGGCCCGACGCTGCATCCAGTGCACGATGCCCTTCATGTCCATGCGGCCTGCCATGGGGACCGTCACCCCAGCCACCCTCACCAGGCTGCGCTCACACCGTGCCATCAGCCCACACCATCACCTGCTCACCATCACCACCCTGCAGTCCCCATCAGGACACTGACACCTGTCTCACCATCACCCACTGCCACCCATCCTTGCACACCCATCCCACCCCAGCACCCATCACAGCATCCCCACAACAGTAGGCAGGCCACAGCCCTACCGGTGTAGTCGATGGGGTAGGTGCGGTTGCCGTCACGGAAGAGCTTGAGCGTGGGGTAGGAGGTGATGCCAAACTCCTTGGCCAGGGCTGTCTGTGCTGTGGCATCCACCTTGCCCAGCCGTGCTGGGCTGGACTCATTCCTCAGCGCCGCAGCTGCCTGGGTGTAGGCAGGGGCCAGCCGCTGGCAGTGCCCACACCAGGGCGCATCTGTGGGCAAGGGCTGGTGGTTGGTCCCCAGGGCGGGCTCGGTGGGTTGCCAGGGCAGGTAAAGGCTGCGTGAGCACGTTGGGCTCCAGCCTGCTCCAGGGCACATGTCCCACACCCCAACCATGTGCCTGTGCCCTGTGTCCCATTCCCATTACACATCCCCTGTCCCATGCCTCTGCCTGTGTCACTGCTCTGTGTCCCCTCCCCATGCTGTGCACCGTACCCTGTCCTGTCACATCCATGCCTTGTGCCCCTGCCCACATCCGCATCCTGTGCCCCTTTCTGCACCCACGTCCATGCCTTGTTCTGCCCATACCCCTGCCCTCAGTGGGGCACTTACAGAACTCCACCAGCAGCAGCCGGTGCTCACTCAGGGCACGGGCGAAGTTGTGTTGGTGCAGCACCAGGACACCATCCTCCTCCCGGAGCTCATCTGAGAGCATCTCATCCTCCTCCTCCGCTTCCACCTCCCCATCCTTCTCCTCGCCCCCCAGCACTGCTCCCAGCCAGGCCAGCCCCAGCACCAGCAGCCAAACCAGCCGGGCCCGGCAGCCCCGCATGGTGCCCTCACCAAAGCTGGTGCCCGGGGAGGGGAGGGCACAGATAAGGG